GCATGAATTAGGACCTGGCCTGTTCCTGTCAGAGCTAACTGGCCAATAACACTCGTCCTCCTGTTGGAGGCCCAGAGGAAAACTGTCCATCACCCCCAGAAATCCAGGCTCTTCCAGACTGAGATCTTCCGGGAGCTTTGTCTGTGATCAGAAATCTTTATTTGGCTCTTTAAAAAAAAAAAATTCAAATGTACAGTACATGCTTCATGAATCAAGTTTAGTCCATATTTTTATGCACGTTTTTACCATAAAGTTTGATTATTCTTTGTTATAAAGGCGGAAATTCTGCTGGGTCGTGAATGCAGCCAGTTCAGGAGTTAATTTAAAATCTTAGATCTTAAATTATCTGCATGTTAAATCTATTTTTTTGTGTCTGTGAGAGCCCAGCTGGTTTACTCTGCTGGGGACCAATAAAAGTGTCAGGAGGGGGGGGGGGGGATCTTGGAGGCAGGACTCAGTCGCGGAGATGCAAAAACAAGGGGTTTATTTGAACAAAAACACACTCAAAAGGAGTGGATGGTAGACATGGTACAAAACAAGGCTGTGAAAAAACTATGAAAAAAGTAACAAAGCAAGATTACATGGCTGTGACAAAAACATGGCTGTGACAAAAAAATGGCTGTGAAAAAACATGACTGTGACAAAAACATGGCTGTGAAAAAACATGGCTGTGACAAAAACATGAACAAAGAATCAAATTAGGTAAACAAGGCTATGGCAAAAAACATGGCTATGGTACAAAAACAAAACTATGGCAATAAAGTAAACAAGGCTGTGACAAAATCAAACCTGACGAAAAGTGACGAAAACAGACAGACGAAAAATGACAAAAACGCACTGGTACAGGACAATTGAAACGAGGACTATTTAAACACATGAGGGGGGGGAACCCCAGGTGTAAACAACAGGTAATCAAGACATGACAACACACCAGAAACTCCCCCAGACGTGACAAAATGTCTTATTTGTACTCTCGATCTTTTCTGGTTTATTCTCAGGCTTCCAACTAAAGAACCGAATCTAACAAGTCCATCGAAGAGCTTTGGACAGAAATAGTTTCAGCAGATTCCACATGATGAATCTCACTCAAACTCTCTTTTTGCCATTGATCATTTCATTGATCACCTCACTACTGAGGATACTTTGGCTCTACCAGCTTCCTGAAATATCGAAAACCTTTTAACTCAAGTTGCCACAGCAGCAGAAAAATACTCAGCAATCGCTCTTTGGTGACCCAAACGGCATCTATTTGGAAATATTTCTTTATTTCCGAACCCTACAGAGGGATTAAACCCGCGAAAATAAGCAATCAGCAGCTCTATCTAATGAAAAAGGCTGCGTGACATTATCGGAAACAGGGATCGATCCACCCCAGAGATTAGAAGTCAGGATTTCTTGTTCTTTGCTGCTTCGATCTCAGCTTCTCTTTGTTTAATGGATGTATAGCGAGACTTCTGTTGTAGGAGAAACCGATATTACATTGCCAGAGTAATTAATGAGGAAAGGCCTTTAGACAACTCGTCCACAGACCTTAGAGAGCCGGTCGCATTTTGGGGAAAACAATGCTGAGGACTCTTTTCTCTGTTGGCATCAGTCAGATTCTGTCGGGTAAAAACTGGAGAGTTTCCAGGATTTCATTCACAGGAAGTCTAATAAATCATCCTGAGTGGCATTATCTGTGTAAGGTGGCTCGTTTATAGCTGGGTTTAATCCAGATGTGTTTGTGTTTTGTGGATTCATGCCCAGCACTTTCAGGCTCAGAGGTCAAAGGTCACTTTCCTGTCCTGCAGATTGAACCCACTCTCAGGTAGATATCTGCAACAAAACAACTAAAGATGATCTTTTATCTACAGAATTCATCATAAAGCAACACTCTGCTGTCTAAAAACACGTGTTAACTTGTAAAGAAAGCTATTAGAAAACACTGGAGGAAGGCTTTAAAGGAAAGGAAAAGAAAAGAAAGGAGAGGAGAGGAGAGGAGAGGAAAGGAAAGGAAAGGAAAGGAAAGGAAAGGAAAGGAAAGGAAAGGA